CTATCAAACTAGCAAAGATCCCTGGACAGGGTGCAAGACTACAGGACAATGATTTATACTGCTAAGAGTTTAAATGGGTGAAATCCTTCTGGAGAGTGATATGGCAATGTATGCCTAAAGTCTTCAAGGCCTGCGGCCCTGTGTCCCGCAATTAAACTTATGGCAATTTATCAATTCTGAATCAGCTCCACGTATTTTCATATCACACTTATTTATAATGCTAGGAAAAATAAGAAAAATGAGTATGGACTGAGTCTGGCTAAATAAATCAGGGCACATCCAAACAAAGCCAAACTAGACAACCACTTAAAATCATGAAGAGCATATACTGTCATACCAAATTGTTTTCTCAATACACTGATAGACAAAACAAGAAGACTGTAGAAAATCGGGGATGCTCAGCACCCAGGAGGAGGCTCCCCTGCCACCATTCCACCTTTCCTAGGGCAGAGGAGGTAAGCCAATCCCAGCACCCAGGAGAAGGCTCTCTGCTGACATTCCACTGCTCCTAAGGCAGAGGAGGTGAGCCAATCCCAGCGCCAAGGAGGAGGCTCCTCGCCGCCATTCCACCATGCCCAGGGCAGAAGAAGTGAACCGCGCAAGTGCCAGCAGGACCCCTCCCCCATGGAAATGAGAAGATATGTAAACAAGCCTCAAAAACAAACTTCCAGATCACCTACAGCAACACCAAAGGGAAACAAGATGGAACACTATGATACTCAACCTCCTGGACTCCCTGAACTGGCAACAAAAGAGGATCTAGAAAAAATAAAATCAGAAATAATTTATCACATAGCAGCAGAGACTGTGCTCATAGTGCAAGACATGATTAATAAATCTAGAGAGGACAAAGATAAAAAAATAGTGGAGCTGAGGAACATGATGGAATCCCAACATAGGAAACAAATGAAATCCATAAAACAGATGCAAACAGATTTCCAGGAGAATAAAAACTCCATTGAAAGTTGACACAGCAGAATGAACCAATGTGAGGACAGAATTTCAGATATAGAAGATAAGATTGCAATTAGTGACCAGGAAAAGAAGAATGCTTTAAAATTGTAAGGGACCACAAGAAATCAATCCAGCAGCTGCTAGACAATGCAAAGAAGAATAACATAAG